CTATTTGAGCATTATTATAAAACTATAAATATACGTATATATTTTATAGTTTGTCAACCACATTGGTATTTTTCTATGAAATTTAAATTCAACTCGTTTTAATTCGAGTAACATTGTTAAACATTTTTTGTTATACTTCCACTATAGATAATAACTACTACTTAGAACATTTATAACTTCCTTGAATTTGATATGGTGACACTACTAGTTTAAATTAAATTCGTTGTTCTATCTATTCTATTGTATGTCTTTGGTTTAACATATCAATGACCACGAGTTTCACATTTTTGAAAAAAACTGAAACAGACCATTGTTGATTTTCCTCGAACTTTTATATAAATTTGACGATAATATACGTTCCGAGCTTAACAACAATTTCTTGAAGGTCATCTTTCACAATATCAAAGAATACCATGATGTGATAGTATTTAATAATACATAAACACGCGATATATACCTTTATTATATTTTAGTTCAAATGAACCTAAGTTTCGAAAAATTGTACATTGTATTATGTAGAGGATTAATTCATTAACTTATGTGTTTTATGCATGTAATGTTTTATATCCATTACCTACGCTTAACGATTTTTATAGATTTTCGTACAATTTTTTGTTTAATTGCATTAAAAAACATTACTTTTTAGTAAGTACCTGAATAATTGATATTATTATCACTTTTATTGAAGCAATTAACATTTTTATGTTATTCAATAATATCTATTGCCATCCTGATCCTACATTCAGTCAAAATATTATTGTAAATCATTAACGAATGTTCATCACCCGTTGATGTGGAAGTATTGTATATTGAAAAGCATAGTTTGTGAACAACTATTTGGAGCTTGGAAACTATTTAAGATAGTAGAAATTTGTTATAATGCCCATTTTTTTTAAAAATTATATTAGTACTTACATTATTTTTAAATTTAAGCTAAGTAGTATGTTTTAGTATGTTCCGAGCCCCCCGCAAATCCGGTGAATCCGAGTGCCCCGCCCAGCCTATAGCTCTATGCTATCACATCCGTGCCCCATCCCCTCCCATCCATATCTATCACTTACCTGCCAGAGCCTTCCCCTCCCATTTATACCTATCACAAACCTATAACAAACAATGTATAGGTATATTCTAGTTCTATATTTGATTATTAATATCCTATAATTTTTTTTATGTAATTTGAATTTAGTTTTGAATATATAGCTCAATGTGCTTAGGATCTAGGAAACAATTTTTTAGTAATAGATCGATAAGTTGATTAATATGTGATTAATCGTTGGTAAATACCTATAAATCTATATAGATGTGTATATAGTATATAGATGAGAGAGATTCTTATGGTTGTGGTCTTGTGTGTAAATGGAGGCTGATATAAATCGAGTTAATTTGGAATGGTTATTTACGTGAACCATAGTGATGGGTATGAGCACTCACATGACCATAGTTTTTAATGGACTTAAAAGTTGGTTATGTGGAAAGGTATTGAGGATTAGGGAAAAGCTGGGGGTTGTGTGGTATGTCGTGGGAGGAGAGGTGGTGGTTCGACATGGTGGGGAATGATATAGAATCGTATGGGTTTATATTTAATTTTAAATATTGGTATATTATTTTAATTAAATCTTATCAAGTATACTAGATTTGGGTGCCTATAATTTTCAACGGCTAACAATGGTTTGGTGGTCATTAAAAGTTGTAGAAATTCACATTAAATGGTATTCAAAAGTATAAGTCAATAATTTTATACCTAAATAATATTAATGAAATACGTACCATGTTTTTATCTGTATGTGATCGGTCAGATTATTTCGACGGATTTTTTTTTTTTTTAAGTGATTACATTGGAATTTAATTCCCTCATGAGATTTTGCATGTCTCAGTAAATTTGATCTCACAGAGAAAACCTTTTCATAGACACCACAGTTGAACATTTTTACGTAATAGACACTGCAGGACTGAGAACAATAGTAAACTGTAGAATGTTTTCAAGAGTTTGGAGAACAACATGACTCCTTTTAGTTAAATCAGCTCTCTAAAATATGATGAATTTACTCCCTCCACACAGTTATAGAATACGTGATAAACATATATTTTCCATATACCAAAATGAAAAGTAATGTTCACACGTTAAATTGTCTTTTCCGAATGACTTTTGGTTAAAAGAGAAATCATATAATATCTAATGTAATGATATGCTCACATTCACATATCATGATTGTAAATTTATTATTCTTATTCAATAAAATAAATAACTGTTAAGTTGTCGGACGCATCATATAATAAACCCTATAACCCCAAATCCCAAATCTCAATAAATATATTAAATCACTGATGAAGGGAACGTTCACATCGCTTGGTCACATATAGGATACTATATGTGATTATAACGGTTTACGGCGCAACACATGCGATCCATTTCATGTGACACCGGAGTCAAGGGATGGTCTAATCAGGGTCTCTGTAACCAAGGGCTTGGACGAATTTCTCGGGAGACTTCGAGACTTTTGATGGGGCCACCGCCGGTCGCTCTGGTGGGCTTGACCAGCTCGTCTCCTCTCACCAGTGCATGAGCACCATCCCAGAGTGCATGAGCACCAGTCAAACAAACAAGTGCAGGAGCACCTAAAAACACTACGACACCAGACATTGCGAGCGACAGCTGGACCGTTTCTTTTTTTAAATCGAAATTTAACAGTGTTGTTTTCCTTTGATCTGAATGTTTAAAGGTAATAACCTTACCGAACAGGTAAGTGATAGACATGGATGGAAGAGGATGGGGCACGGCTGAGTACGGTCACGATAGCATATTTATAGGCTGGGCGGGGTACCCGGATTTGCAGGGGGCACAGAACATACTTAAACATACTAGTATAAGCTATGTTTGCTTATTAAAACCTGTTCGTGACAAGTAACGAACATATAACCATAAAATATTGACAAAGGTGTAATCCCTATAAACTATTAAACATTTATTGAAAAATATATAAGTAACAAGTTTACTAAGTACATAGTAAATAATAGTAAAAAATAAATAAATAAATAAAACCGGCCATCTCTAATTATTAAAACCAGTTGATTATCAAAATTATATTATACATTAATTTTTATCAACCTATAGTCTTAACGGTGTACGCCATACGGCTATCGTCATCCTTTATAAAAATAGATCAATTATAACGAGGTTACCTATCATAGTGTAATCTGCTTAAGTCACCAATGGCAAATTTAAATATGACCATAGAAGTCATTTTTTAAAGTTTTTTTCAGTTTTTTTCAGTTATTTTCTGTCTATAAAAAAAAATATAGCAACTAAACAAATATTCTGAAAAAGATTCTAAAATTACCTAGGAAAAAAACATAATAGAAAAACGATAGATTTTTCTTTAACTTCAAATCAGTATTAATTCATATCATGGAAAACAAACTTGAAAGTTGTATAATTTTATGAACTTTAAATCATACCTTCACAGGCTCTACGAATGCATTATTACCGTAAAACCAAGAATATTACACTAGTATCCGCATTATACACGAAATTACTGTGAATGAATGATACATTGCGAGAGTGTTCGGTAAATAAATTAGCGAAGATACTATGCTGGTGTACATTTTACGTAACGTATCAACTGCATACAAAATTTGTCTGATTACAGATTTAGAGATTTCATATCATTCGCATCGCGTAATCTTATGATATTAATAATCATCCTGGTTTGTGATTGCCATAACCTGCAACGTGCACAAAAAACGGTTCATTGCGTTTTGTTGCGGTTGCAATATAGAAGTTAATCAACGTCCAACGAATTATTTGATATTTGGACACTGCGCTGACCCTGTCCTATTTCGTTATAAGATTATCGTTCGCTTAGTGGCATTTCTATCTGATAATCTGACTAGAACCATAATTATATGCTTTGATGGAATACATTTGCAGTTATTTTATTTCGAAAAATTTCATTAGAATCCAGAATCAATATATAATCGTATCGATTATTGCACACACGACGCCATACAACGTCTTTGGAAACATAAATATTGTTTTCGATATTATTTGTACATTTATATAACATACATTTACCTATGTATAATGCGTTGGCCGGCGTAATGTATAGGCAATTTCGTTACATGCATGTAGGTAGTTTTCAAACAGTATTCCATGCTAGTTTTGAATTCGGACTAAAATAACTTGTCAACAGCCCATGTAGACGATGAAATAAAGTATTGAACAATGGAAGGTCTCAAATTCACGGATTTAGAAAAGGATGATAATGAACTGACTATTTTAGAGAACTGCAGTACTTAAGCTTAAATAACTTACATATCAAATTTTGTTGCTATATCAACAGAAAATCAATTTAGACATTGACTGAACTTTTATAAGGAACGGATAAGAATATTTTTGTATATCAATATAATATTAAAATATATAAGTTTCTTAGACACTAGACATGTTAAACAAAACATTTAAAAAACATTTAAAAAATTATTTTTTATCTCCAATATTTCCAGGAACAATATTTGATGAATTACTATTGATGAAAAAAACATTATTTTTTTGGAGTGGTTTACTTTGTATCGACATTATAAGCACAGGTTCCTAATGATCATATTTTAATTGAAATCATTCATCGATAAAAAAAAAACAAACTAGGTAATTAGTTATTATGAGCAATCATAAATAATTAATAATAACATGTATGGTGTATTGTAATTAATAAAATATCGGTAATGAACCGCATGTAAAATAATTATTGTCAAACGTATGTACTGATAACTGATAAATGAGAATATTAGACTAAACAAATTATGTTTTCTCATTGAGCATTGGATAGCTTTTAGCTTAAAAATTGTACTTTTTACTTGAAAATAAAATAATAAAATCGAATGGATTATTTCTACGAATAAATTTTTATTTTCATTCGTACATCATATTTTATGTCCAATAAATGTTCGTAAGCAAGTTTAATGAAACGTGTAATGAGTAAATGGTGTATATTATGTTACAGGTCAAATGCACGAACCAGACGAAATAATGCCTGAATTTTATGCGCCACTGGAAAATTGGACGGTGACCCAAGGCCGAGACATATACTTTACGTGCACGGTGAACAATTTGGGAAAGTACAAGGTAATAAATAATCGATCAATAAGCAATAATAAACTGTATCCAATGGACAGTGCAATTTCAGTATATTTATTGTACTGACTTAATCAGTGGGTACGACGAAAAATAATTGTATAAAGTTATAATTAGCAGCTACCGTGGCGATAAAACTTGACAAATAAAACAGAATTAATTAGTTTAAAAAAGTGAGCATGAGTGTATACCACTCTGCTGTGCATTAGGTGTCGTGTGGCCGTGTGGGTCACTACAATGAATGTGTTGAATTTGAATTCAATGTCATAAAATTATTGTATACAAAAAATGATTCTGAGACAAATTGGTCTGTCGACTGTCAGCCAACATAAGTAAGAATATGGTATGATATTTTCGCTACTTAAGTAATTTATTTTACTCTTCGACATTTTTTTAAATCATTTTTACCAAAAAAATTGTATTAAAACATATAATTGTGTGTAAAATAAAATATGTTTAAAAATTGCAATTATCTATCTAACAAAATAAGCAAAATTACTTTTCTTCGACTAAAATTCTATTTCCGTCTAAATTTTAATGAATTTAAATTCTATAAAATATAAATCTAAATCCACATATCATTTTTTTTTAGATTTATTGATTTTAGTATCTACTTATGAGAACCGGTTTTTTAATTTCCAATCATATCTATAAAAATTCAACATTTTATTAATTTGCAAATTTTCATGATTTTAATGAATTTTGTCAATCTTTAAAATTTAATATTTATATAAAAAAAATCATTCTATTTATTTTAAATATTTTTAAACAGATATTTTAACAACAAATGAAGAACATTTCATTAAATTTTAGAACTTTTTGATCCAGCAAAAAAATTTTATTGATATTTATAGGGGATAAAAACTAATATACATTTTGAWTTCTCATGCCTTTTAATATTAGAAAATCGAAGTAATTTTACTATCACCCTCAAAAGGTGATGACACACAAAAAGACAAAAAATAAATAAATAAAATAAAACCCATTATTGTAAAATAAATATTAAATACATTCAGTTCTTAGCTAAAAATTTAAAATAAAAAATTTCTTGAATATTTACGATAACAGGTTACGATTTCTGTCTGCAATGTAAACAGCACATTTTTTCTTACAACAATATAATTCATACAAATAATCCTCGTCGTTCGTGTAAACGTGTGGATTAGAGGAGAAATGTCTGCCCCGTGCAAAAGGTGTTAAATCGTATTTTACTCAATTTTATGTTTCATTTCACCGCGAAAAACGCCCAAAACAACTGCCGATATTTTAATTGACAGCTGTCTTAAAAATGACTTATGATATTGACTAATGGAATACAAAAGACTGAAAAATATTTAAGAACAAGTGTCGAAAACCGGTCGGATCACGATAAGATTAATTGAGGGGAAATAATTATTCATAGTGTTCTTAAAAAAAAAAAAATAATAATAATAATAAACAAGGGATTTTCGTGTTGTTTTTAACAATCAGAGTAACTATATATTATTACTTAATATTTACTATGGACTATTATGGAGACATTTTTTTTTTCCAATTACCTGTTTTAATAGATATTCGTAATAATTTCTTGGTTTACTTATATTTTATATTATGATAATATATATTATATTATATTCGTTTACTTTTATATACCTAGGTACTTCTGTGGATTCAACCACAAATAACAATGTTWTTTTTTATTTTTTATTATTAGCTTCTAGTATTAAACCATGAAAGCTCAAATAATAATGTCAGTCTTATATCATCAGCCAATCCTACAAGATAGGTTACTTCTCACCATTTGATGAAAATTATTTTACAAACAATTTCACTCGTTTGGTAAATCGGATTAAAAGTAGAAAAATGCATTTTTATTATTTAAGTTTTCTAATGATTGTTCAACTGCATTCAACGCATCGTAGTATCTATATATATCTTACATTTCGTATTGAGAAACATTAGCCTTGATATAAAATTCAAAAATCGCTTTTCATCTTAAATGACTCAGTCTCCTTACCTCTGACGGTGGTTAAAAAGCGTCCCCTTTAACAAATTAGGATTTTATACATTAGACATTATACATAAAATTATAATATATGGAACGCTTAAAACTATATGGAGACATTAGTCCCTTTCTGGAATTTTTTGCTACTTTAACCTCTGAATGTAACTTAGTTTATGTAAGATGATAATATAGGCGACCTGCCCACTAATATTGTAAATTCGAAATCGTTGTTTTTCTGTCTAAACGTTTAGTAATGCAGTGTCAATATATGCTGCCATTAACGAATGTGTGTTAATTAAATTTTCTATTTAAAATTCCATATAAAAACGTTTTGGMTAAGATGTACATGTGATGTTGGCMYGGATCAAAAAGTTTGGGGTGGAAGAAATGTCTCAATATAATATGCATAGTATACGTATAATTGAATATATAGACGCATTTGGACAAACATTCAGAACGTCACGACAACATTATACATACATATGTGTCATATATGTATAATATAAATGGACACACATAGAAAATTCCTTAGTTTCCATGAACTAATCGTGCGAACGAGAACCATCTGCTATTATTTTAAAACCAAATACTAAAAAAAAAAAAACACATTGAAAAACCACAATGACACTATAGTACAACACAATACAAATATTTTATAAATAAGTATATAATAACATATTATTTTATATACTTACTAAACGTATTAATTTACAAATATTAYATGTTGTGAAATATTAATCAATGTTCCTTTGAGTGAATACTTAAGTAAGTACTTTAAAATTCCCCATCTACGCACTAATCTATACCCGATTCAGACACTTTGGGTTGATCGTAGCCTTMTAACCGTGAATCAAATGAATTTCTCATTGTTTTCCACCACACCGTATGAGTAAAGAACGTAATAATAATAATAATAATAACAACAATAATAATATTATATACACCGGGTATGCTCGGGATTCGATCGAATAAGTTGCGTGCCGAATTCCGGTTCAACTGTCAACCACGTGCGCCCTTCACGCAGCTAGGGGAAAACTCCGTGGGCGATCTTAACAAATCCAATAATGAAAATCCCAAGGTACTTTATGTATAAGTGTGTGTATGTGTGTGTGAACAGCATTTTTCGATGGAAAGGAGACGTGGCGTGTATTGGCGCTTGATTGGGTTCTTTGTCTGCATCATGTTTTATACGCGTGGTTCGTTATAATAACATTATTATCGGGAGGCGCTGAATAATATTATATAATAATAATAATATCATAGACCCTTGATCTCGGATCGACTTAAAAACGTCAGTCGCCCATCGTCCAAACCACCGAAGATATTTTTTTCCGATATGCTGTCTTATTTAACAACATATTATTTATTTCTTTTTGCGGAGGTCACGTACCATGTTCRCAGACCCGCAATAATAAGGGACGCGCCAGTGTGTCTCCTTTTTCGGATTTTCATCAGTGCGTATAACTTTATTACAATATTATGTACGTATATAAATGTAAGAAACGCGAGCAATATCTACTTGCGGACTGCGGTTATCTCGTCGTCGGAATTTACCTTGATATGAATTAATTTTTTTTAAATTATTCCTTTTCGAGATTTTTTCGTTTAGATTTTTTTTTATCTTGAATWATACAAATTCAACTTATAATCATCAACGACGACATTATATTTTATGCCACATTTTAGCCTAACAATTAACAATTAAAATACATACAATATTCGACAGGGTATGAGACATATACGATATAATTATATATAATATACTATAAAGTTGAGCAATGGTTGACATCAATCRATCCACCAGTTAGAAAATAATTGAACTAGTAATATTATAATATGATATGTTGTATACGATCATCTCAACAAATTTTATTAAATATTATTAATCATCCTATAAAATAATAATGAATACCTAAACGAACATTATGTACAAACGAACGAAGTATATTATGAAACTATTGAATATTTCATCATCGCAAAAAACGATCAGTTTATAAGAAATGAGGATAGTTGGAAGAAGCGAATTTTGTGTACAAGGTMTTCAACATGGTCGAACCCTTATGTGATGTTTACCAAGACACCTGTACACTGTAGTAGTAGTACTGTTTATGTTGGTGGTATTGGARACCTAACGTGTAGACTTCTCGAAAGAATAAATCCAAATTGAGTACCCAGTTACATTAGTATTGATTCAAAAGTATTGAATTGATACTTTTAAGTGTTATTTTTCAGGATTTTTAAGAGAGAGAATAAAATATGATATTAAAAGAAAATGAGTTGGGTGGTTTTTTTAGGATTTCAAATTAAGATTACATTTTTACAGACTGTTTCCAAGAATGAAGAATTTAGGAGTGGTGAATTAAAATGGTTCACTTTGGTARATGTTGTATTAGTTACAAGATTATGACCAAGTGATTTTTTCATGTCATTAATTTATAATAATAATTTAAATTTTCAATTAGCAGAAGCGTTTTGTTTTTCTATGACGAAAGTACAATCCTTACACAAAAACAATATTAAATCTGTGTGTGAGAAGAATTTATCTAATTGAATTTTATTTTTTTAATGACTTAATTGATTTGACAAAATGACTTCTATAAAAAATTACTGTGATATTTTAATCTTTAAATAGACACTTTTCATTTTCATTTTTAGTACAGACGTTATTTTTTTAACAACGAATTTTGTTAACATTTTTAATATTATGTTATTTTAATTTTTTTGACTAACTTATTAGTTTATTTTGTAATTACGCCATATATACACTACAATATTAACCTATGATTAAGCAATATAAAAAATGTGGGTGAATGCGTGTATCACTGTGCTGTATAGTAGGGGTGGAATCGGTGAGTTATTACAATTGGAGTGTTAAATTTGAATTCAATCATATAATATAATTGTATGCGAAAAATGATTCTGAGCAGTGTTGGTCTTCAAACTTGAAATATATTTTGATATTATACTTAGGTAATTCATCATTTCGATCCCACAAATTAAAACAAAATCACTTAAAATTCTATTAAATTCTATTAAATTTTATTATTGATTATTTTGTATCATACATTGTTGTTTTATTAACATATAATTATTATCTTTATATAATTGTGAATAACATGAATAAGTTCATGGTATAAATAGTTTGAAATTAGTCATAATTAAAGACCGGATTTTTGTGCAGTTAACACCTAAAAAACGCGCAATTAAATGATAAAATGTGCAAAATCGTGTAAAAAAATTATCACTATACATACTTCAAATTTTATTTTCAATACTATTTTTTTTTATGATATTATTATTGTATTAGYTGTCATTAACTATTTTTTTTTTTATTATTATTAAAAAATAACGCTCGACAATAGGCCATTGGGATAAGATACATTTTTTTTTTTTTAAAGGTGTTACATAATAATAAAGGAAAAGAAATAACAATAACAATAAATGCTTAAATTATATGAAAATAATAATAATAATAAGGTTGTGTTTTATTTTTTTTTAATGATTAAATAAATTTGTCCAGTCCTGTCTCCTGGAGAAACACGAATATGCATTAACTATTATATCTATACTAATAACTATAAATATTATACAGAAGTCCAATATTTCATATAACAACATAATATAGCAATGATAAAAATAATACTAACATATTTGTACAACAGTACTGTTTAGTACATTTTTATGAAAAAAAAAAACCAAAAACGTGCAATTTTATGCAACATAAAATGTTCTTTAATTTAATCTACATCTCTTGATTTGGATTTGTAGCTTGTTTATGTAGAATTTAGAACACGCCATAAGAGGATGCAATTGTACGGGAATCCGATATCTAGTCATAATATTTTGAAAATGTATCTGTGTTTAAAATTAATGATACCTATATGTTATGATGAAAAGTCTCAAGTTCTTCCAACCATTAATATTTACTGAATTCAAAACATTTAAAATACTTATGAATAGCACAGAAAGAGCCAAAGTATTTTGAATATTATGTCATGTCTATTAAAAGCTTGTATGAATACTAGGTAAACATTTTAAGTCCCTACAGTTATTCTTATTCATATCACAATGAAAAAAATTCAATCCATGATTAGTTTGAAATGTACTTGGAATTATTCACTTTTATCCTCTAAAAGTCTAAAATAATAATTAGATCAATTTCTGCGAGAAATTGAAAATTGAAATATTTTTACTACACTAAATGAAAATTATTTACACATTCAATTATAAAAATACTTGAAATATGTAGATCTTCTATGTGTATGATGTAGAATACATCACACTTGTGATATAGGATAAAATAATAATGAAGTTGTTTTTTTTTTTACATTTTTACGTTTATTACTTATAGGTCGCTTGGATAAAATCGGATTCTAAAGCAATTTTGGCGATCCACACGAACTTGATTGCTCATAATCACAGGTTGACAGTCACTCACAATGGACATAATACTTGGAAATTGCACGTGATCAATGTTCAAAAAAACGATACTGGAAGTTACATGTGCCAAATAAATACGCAACCGATGATAGTACAGGTTAGAAGAAAAYTAATGTATGTATATAATAAGTTAGTAAAGAAMAMAATKTATCAAGTTAAGCATTCYCATATGTCTAGCACTTATAYATAATATATATATATTCACTATTTGATTACCTTAGTACAAAATAGTTAGTATTATGATTTAAATGTATTTAGTCCAAAACGGTTTTCTTACAGTTTTTGAATACGAGATTTATTTAGCTGGTATCTTTTCTGCGAAGTTTAACATTTTATCACTTTATCAGATTCTAGAATTCGATAAGTCAACATGTATCACTATTACCACTTTAAATAAATAAATAAACTTCAA